ACGGCCATGGGTGGCGCGGGGCCCGGGGTGTAGAGTCCGCCAGCCTCGGACCCGCGTCCCGCACCCTGACAGTCCCGGTAAGCGGGGGCGGGGGCGGCGGGGACCCGACAGGCACCGTGAGGGGCGCGTCTGCGGGCAGAGGACAACCCTCCCGGGACTCTCAGATGTGTGGGAGCCATCCACAAGGGGGTCCCTGTGTAAGTGGTTAAATCCCGCGTGTCTCTGCCTCTGCCCCTCGGGAGGGTCCCGGAGGCGATGTGCGGAGCCGCCCCCATGGAAGATCCCTGTGCGAATGGAGACTCTCAGGGCTCTCTCCGCAGTTGCTGCCACGGGGAGGCCCGGTGTGGAGGACACCATCCCCAGAGATACCATGTGTGTACCTGTGGGAGGGCAAGGGTGGTCTCGGTGGAAGACCATTCAGAAACACAGGGGCTCCTCAGCACGGTGGGGGTGGACCCCACAGAGAACCTAGAACTGCCTGGAAGGAACCTCTGACTGGAAGGAGAGGATCCTGTCATGGGATCCAGGCCAGGAGTAACTTCCCATATGCCCAGAGGATTTGGGCCTTGACCTCCTTCAGGGCTCAGTGTGTCCCAACTTGTGTCCCTCCAACATGGTCGAGAGGCAAGGACCCTGTGGGACTGCGCCTTTGTCATTTCGTCCTTCTACCCCATTAGAATGTGTATTCTCTGTGGTGGCCCAGTTGGTGCCAAGATGGATCTTAGTGGAGGCTAGAACATCTATAAGAGCACAGGGTACAAGAGAGGAGAGGACCAGTGAGGCCTCTGAAGCCAAAATAAAGATTTGAGCCCCTGGGCTTGACCCTCAGGTAGAAAGCAGTAAAATCATGTAGAATAACTGACTCTGGCAGGTCCTGTAAAGAAATTCCTTTAAAGGAAAGAAGAAAGGAAATGTATGGTTATTGAGCACCAATGTGCCAAGTACTATACCAGGGATATTTAACATCCCATAGAATCCTTACGACAGCCTTATGAAATTATCAACTTTTTAACATTTGGCACTTTAGGCTCAGAGAGGTTTATCAGTTTGCCCAAGGTCACAAAGCTTAGAATTATGAAATCTGTTTTTCGAAGTTTATTTGGGAAAAAGCATCAAGAGGATGCAAAAGCAAGAATGTGTATTTGTTAGTAAGTTGCATTAAGATACCAAGCATGGGCTTTGTAATAGTATATACTCAGTAAATCTGATGATTAATTAACTGCATGAAGACCCTTTAACTGGGGATGAGACTGCTGCTGCAATTGATTTCCACTGAATTCCCATATTTCAGGGTGTGGCTTCCTTCACTGGCAGCCCCACTGTAATGATGTCTCTCCATGGCTCCAGACTTAACTGGGTCTGGGAGAGGCTTCTGGGTGTGGTCTTTGACAGGACTTGCTCTAGGGAACTGGAGGAACCCTTCAGAGGATGGAATGTTCTGAGACTACCTTCCCTGCTTGCAGAACCCTTGAGGGAGAGGAAGGAGAGACAGGATCACTTTTAGGAAGCATGATCCAGTGTCTGTGGCCATCTGACCACATGCACTAGCAGATGTTGGTCCACAGATACCTTTCAGGACACTTGCCCAACAGCGCCTCTGCATGATGATGAGGAGGAGGGTGGGGAAGGTGCAGAGCCAGAAAAGGCTTATGAGAGTTTGTTGTCTGGGGAATGGAAAAGGTCTGTGCCTGACCTAGTGATGCACCCTCATCTTGTGTCCTGGGCTGTGGTAGCCTTCATTCTACCTGAATCCCGAGAGTATGAATTTGGAACCAAGGATAGATTCTGGTTTCTTGTCCAAAAAATGGAGTGTTGAGGGAGCTAGACAATGTAATTCACCACATTCTAGAAGAGTTTTCCTGTTCAGCTTCCTTCCTCCTTCCACATAGCCAAACCCAGCGACATCCTCCTATAATAGAAGTGGGTTCCTTGGACATCTGGGGTTACATCGTGAGAAGGGAGGTCAGACTTGTGAGCAAATGGAAAAACCAGGGTGTGGCACCTCATGCACAGCTCAGGAATAAACTTTGACAAAGGCTGATAATGGTTAAGCACCTCCCTGATACAGAGTTCTTTATCATTTCTTTCAGTTCAAACCCCTCTCATCAGCTTAACATGCCAAAATAAATAGGGATATATTTTTAAAAAGAAAATCAGAGCAAGCCTGCAAATATGATGTTTACACCAATTCGGAGATTTGTCAGTGGCGTTTTACTCCTAAACTAGCCTTTTTCAGCAAGGGTTCTTGGTATCACACCACTTGTGACCATGGAAAAATTGTTAGATGGCTCCAGGTGCTCCCTAAATATTGGACCTTGGATATCACCTCTTTGATGCCCAGGATTGGGTGAACATTAAGATTACAAAACCCTAAGAATGCTGTCTAACTCTCCCCTAATCACAACATGAGTCTGCAAATTAAATCATTCCAGATTGAGTGTGAAGGATGTCACCAGGTGGCCTTAATCTTCTTAAAGAAAAAACAAAAAACAAAAAAACAAAAAAAAAACCCTCTCTCTAAAGAGAAATAAAAGAGGAGAGAATGGCTCACCCAGTTTCACTTGAGTGTATACAAATGAGTCTGGATTTTTCAGTCTTTAATCTTCCTCATCTTCTCTGACCACATTCTTATGGTCTTCTTCCTCCTACATTTGCCATCTTTTGACAATCCTCCCTTTTCCTCGAGCATATGAGTAGTAAGTAAGACCTTTCCCGGCCCATTTCCCATACTCCCTGTATTTTTTTCCAGTACACCTGTTCCTAAGTGGATCATATTTATGCAAATAGTTTCCTTTCTTTTTAGCTACAGAATCTATTATCTTCCAGTCCCACATGCTTTTCTCCAGCAGTACTCTTGGTTTCTGCTATCTTCATTTCCCAAATTGATTTATTCATTTCTAATGGGAATATTATCCACTCCAACCCCTCAATCTTAATGACCAAGTTCTGAAAGAAATTGCTTACCAGCTTTGGACCAAGAAACCAAGACTATAAGTGCCCAGCTGGAGATATGATTATTTTTTCCATTATTACATCCCCCTTTATCCTTCCTCCCTTTCCAGCAGTCCCCTCAGAGACCATATACATTTTCTAAGTGCTACCTGCTTGCCAGGTACTGTGCTAGATAAATATGGGAATTCCTTGCACTTGAGTTCACACAGAATCAGGCTGCAATTCCCTGATCATTTAGTAAGTAAGAAAAGTAAGAGAAGTACAGCTTCACCGAATATCTATAGAAATTGTCATAGAGTATGCCTTTTCCCAGGCATAATGGAAATGCAACTGCTGTTCCATGCCTCCTCCGGCAGCCACACATTCTTAGCCCCCAAGTAATTGCCCTGCCAAAATTACCTTTGCCCATATGCTTTGAGTGAACTGGCCATAGTTTTGGCTCTCTATGATAATAATGACTAAAACAACAGTGTGTATGCTGGTTGGCAGCCATTCTCTCTCTCTCTCTCCCTCTCCCCTCCCCACTTTGAGCCTCATAATTAGGCTTATGGGTCTTCCAGAGGGAAAGCCCCGACAATTCACTGCAGTCACTACCTACCAGCTCTTAGGTTATGGAAAAGAGTTTCTTGTTGGTTCCAAAGGCCAAACAATGCCCTCACTGGTCAGCCCTGGGCTTTATCAGGGCTTTCCTGCCTCAGAAAATCCAATTCTCTATGTTTTTTATCTCCCTGAAATCCAAATACATATTCCCTTGTAAACAAATATTTTAAGCATACTGCCTCAAACCAGTTCTTTGGACTAATTCTTATATGAAGGCAAGTTTCCTTGCCTATTTCTATCCAGCACCCAGCTGGCTTCATACCACCTA